TTTTTTTTAAAGTTTAAAAATTTAAATAAAATTAAGAAGTTTTATAAATTAATTAAGTTTGAAATTGTGGATATTAATTTAAAATTTTATGTCCAATAACTTATTAATATTAATTTTTAATTTTTAATTTTAGTCTTCAATTGTTAGTTTTGATTATTTGAATTTTAAAAATCAAAACCAAAACCAAAAACTAAAAACTACAAGATATGAGACGAAACTTTAAATTTTTGGTTTTAGCTTTTAATTTTATTTTTATATCTTTTGTAACTAATAGTATATCTAAATAAATTAGTATTTATTAGTCAAATCTACAAAAAATTAAGTAAAAAATATATCACAATTAATTTATTTTAATAAAATATTATGAGAAAATATTAAAACTTTATCTTTTTTGTTTTAAAAGGTAGATTATTTTAATTTTTTAATAAAAATTTATTAAAATGATATAATTTTAAAGTTTTTTTTATCTAATTTTTTGTAAGTTTGATTGATAAATTTTTTAATATTTAAGTAAAATTTAATTTTTACAATAAGTACTGATTTCTATGCTGTTTTTTTATAATAAATACCAACCTTGCGATGTTCGTTTGTTTGTTGACTCTAGCGAATATAGTTGTGGCTACAATTAATTTTGTTAGGCTACTAAAATTGTCAAATTTTTATTTTAATATAACTGTTAAAAATAGTTAATATTTAATTAAAAAATTAATATTTATTATAGATAAATTAATTTTAATTAATGTTTTGCAGTATAATTTAGTGGGAATATTGATATATTAAAATCTTAAAAAAATTATCAAATAATAATATAATTTTATGATGGTAGAATACTTGAAAAGCCATAGCCATAGCACAACCCCAAACATAGCCAGCTTCGTTTGTGAGTATTATACTGAGTTGTAATGGTAGATTTTTTTTTTTGTTTTTTAATACCTGAAAAATATATAAATATTAATTAAAATTAATAAAAAAGTATAAACATTACATAATTAAGATTAAATAAAAATAATATGAAATTAATGTTTATTAACTATATCTTTAAA